CCCCCCCCCCCCCCCCTGCCCCCGTTAAACCTCCGCACTAGCCACGCGGGCGACCCCCAACGATTGGGGTTTGGCATGACAGTCAGCCCGGGGTCGTATCAATGGAAAACACCCACATGCAGAGTCTCCAGCTCCAGTTGGCGGATCTGCCGGTGTTGACGCTCCCCGAGAACCTTGTCAATAGGGAGTCATGGCGGTGGTCAGAGAGTGCAGTTGGTGGAATGTTATCAGCAATATTAGGAGCAGCCGAGGTCAACACCACATTAAATTTAACTCTGCCACCTGAGGGAAAAGTGTAGTACACGTCTCACCACGAAAAAAGGGGGGACTGTCGCCATGATAAAGAGTACGAAAACACACACAACACACTTGAGGGAAATGCCACGAATGCAGCAAAAGTGGCTACCAATTTATCGCGCTGCAGATGTTTCAACGATCAGCTGTCATTTTTTGTTGGGTAGACGTGTGGTAGCGGATGTAAGCTCTCGGTGTCGTCGAAGAGACGGGGGGTGAGCAAGGGGCGTCGATAGAGGGGCTCTGGTGGACGTCCCGTGCTTACGATGACAGAGCAGAGTACGCCGATAGGCTAATGTGTCTTCAATAAGCAGGCATGGCCAATCGGCATGGTGTGAAACCCATGCTTTTTAGTTTGCTACTGTAGGGGGGGAAGTACAGTTGTGGAATACCTTGATTCGCGAGGTGCAAAGGGCTTATGATGCAAAAGTGATGTGATTACATAGTGTACCGGGTTCTTTACGAAGGCGATGGATATCGACAGTCGACGTAGTTGGTTGTTGGTTCGAGAGAGGTGGGCAGCACGCCAACAAGCCGCACAATCCAGAAACGCGAAACGACGCAACAACGTCGAAAACGGCGACGGTGATACTCACTCGAACAGTCTTCTCTGGGAATGGCACCGTCTTCGTTGTGAACAACTACAGCCGAGAGAGGTGGGCGATGACGATAAGTCAGACGGATGCCCCTATACCAACATGAGTACGCGAACAGTCAGAGGACGTATGAAGTGCAACGAGCGCCAAACCTTTTTCTCCAAGACGATGTCTTTGTAGAGCAGATCAAGCAGTTCATCCTTGTTCATGTCCTCCACATGCTTGCCCCTGCACTGCAAGCTGTACTTAACTTCCGCATGCCTACGCGCGCGTTTCGACGGTACGGTGGAGGCGACATGCCGTGTCATGGCGGCCGTAATACGGACAGCGGGAGGGAGACATCACAAAAGAACGGACGACACATCCATAAATCTGTTCACATCTACAGACTATATGCGTTGCCAGTAGTCTAATGCCATGAACAGCATGTAAGAGGACGGCGTACTGTAGTTGAAGCACGAAGACAAGTGCAATGAAACCATCAGATGTACCCAGTGGCACGGTGCCGGCGTCGCTCAACAACTACCGGCAACACATTATCATGAGAACCACAGCCGGTGGGTTCGCAACGGTGGCGATTTCGGTGCAGTCTAGATAACGAGCTCGGGGCAAACGAGCCCTCGAAGCAACAGATTATCAGCGCCCCAAAATAGTTCTTCCTCTTAATGATACCACCAACGGCCGGGTTCTTCCCTATTCCTCGGGTACAATATCAAAGGCATGAACTGTACAGCTTCTTGGATAGCTGTATCCCTTGTTCTAATGGTTTCCGAGCGAAGGGGGGGCTAGCGTCGTCATGAATCGCCCACTCTTTTGTCTTTCGGACAACCTCGAACGGTTCCTGTTGTGATTCGTCTCACTCACTTGATCTTCGGGAGGATTGTGTGCTTGATGTGGTGCAGCCTATGAACTGTCGGAGGAGGCTTCCAAACGCCATAGTACTGGGTCAAAGCGGTCAACTTCTCGATCTGGGAAGCAAGGTCGTCCAACATGAGCAACCCCGTGCCGGAGAGGATGGGTCGAACGTACAACATGACTTATGTACGTGCTTCTAGACACAGAACAAATACCGGTAAGAGCAAACATTCAATCAAACAAACCTTAACACTACATATGCGCGTACTCTTCAATTCATGCACAGACGACACATCTCCTCGACAGAGCACATGAGTTCATAGTGGACCGAAGGATAGTCGACCAGAGAAAAAAAAAAAACGGAGAGGTCGTTTGAGTTTTTCAAGTGCTGGCCAATGAACCATTGTTTCTAGACGACAACGGAAACGCGGTACTGAAGATTCGCACCATAGTCTGGAAGGCAAAACACACAAAAATCTTTCATGTCAGCGCCTTTCCTGGTTTCGTGAGAGTTTTTCCTGCTTACACTCCCCCCCGTACATAAACTAGTACTTATCATGCACAACCAACAGGAAAATGGTTATTCTCGCCTCGTTCTCCTCCACGTTTTCCTTTTCTTCTGGGATGATCTCGTCCGGCTCCTGCTTCTGCATCGTCTGTAGCAGTAGCCGGCTCCTCTCGGTTGTGTCGCCCCTCCAGTGCTCCTGCCAGTGCGAGTCCGGCCCTATCTCGAACCACCAGTGATCCTTGCCTCCCCAGGCAAACCCCTGCTTGCATGTTCGTACAGACAATACGTATCGTTTGGTGCCGTTTTCTTCTCAACAGTTCTGTTCGTTTGCCGTGTGTCTCTCTGCTTCAATTAGTGTTGCTGCTGGTGTCTTCAAAGAGAACCATTGTTTGAGCTTCTCACAGTACCTCCCCTTCTGCACTCTTCAACACCAAGAAACGAACGTCTGTGGTTTCGCACTTATGAGAAAATGGCCAATGAGCACGTCCCTTGACTCGTGAACAAAGAAATAAAAGTTTGCAAAAGCGACAAATTAAGAAAGGGAAAAAATGCCAAACAAGGGTATTGAACCCATCGCTTGAACTTGGAAGCCAAGACAAGCCAATATGTACCTTAGGGTTCCAACGCTAACTATGCGGGGAGCGTTCGTCTCATCGAGTTTATCCCGTCGGCCAGGTCACCCTCACTCCACGGAAAAGGGTTTGGCAAACAACACACAAAATAGCGGAACAACCGTGCAAAGATAGCGTGCTCTGTCCTATACAGCGGCATCTTGGTTTCTGTCGGGTTTCTCATCAACACCGAAACCAGCTCGAATACACCGAGATAGCACGTGTGGGAGGTGGTGGGGCAACATGAATTGCTCCTGCAATGCTGTCGCTGGAGGTAGCCTGGAACCTGAGACGAAGCCAGATAAAAAAGCAGGTTGGCTCGAGGCAAACAGCCCGTTTTATCCTATTCAAGAGCAAGCATGCCCCATGCAGATACGAAAGAAGGCCGCTTGAGAGACCACACAACAATATACACACACTCTCAGTGGTAGTCGTCCACGTCCCTTCTATGTCTTGCTTCTCTCTCACACACACCCTTGCTCCGCGGCTCCCCTCTCAAAGGTTCGCCTGCGTGTTTGTTGATACATCACACGTTCGTGTGTTACATGTGTACCTCTCCCAGTTCGCTGAAGGCGAACGCCGCGCTGTCGCTCGTCGTCACCGACGCAATCCGTCGGCCCCACAGCGCCGCCGCGCTCCTCGCCACGCACAGGCCAGCGAAGGGGCTTGTCCTCCTGTCGTCCTCCGGATCGACGTGGTTGTCCTGGTTGTCCGTCAACACTTCGTTCTCCGTGGAAGTCTCCCCCTCAGCAGACTCGGCAGGGTCGTCGGTCTTTGATGAAAGTGGGGGGGGGGTCACGTGGAGGGTGGGACTCAGGGTGGTTAGGGGGAGGCAGCTTCTACATGGTGGCGTTCGTCGATTTGGTGCACTGGAGTGACGTGACCATCGTCCGTTGACCCCCCCCGCCAGTAGCATGCACTTGTTCGAGAAATCCCACCCCGTACTCAACGCCCTGGCGTACTCCTGCAGGATAGCCCCAGCAGAACAAGGGCCGAGAGGGCCCGCTGCTACCGACTCCAGCAACCTCCACTTCTGCTACAGTACGTGTGCGGGCATGCTCAGAATCGTCGCCCTCACGGTTTGAGTACTGCTTCCAAGGCCCATGGTTCTTCGCCGCCGCCGAGCGTGCTTCACGCCCAGCTTGATGGGTTCTGGTGCGGTTGCCGGGGGGTTGACGCGCGTGTTCCACATGCTCTGAAAGGGGCCGTTCCGGTGGATATCAGCGACACGAAGCCGCAAGAAGGTTCATCAATGAGTCTGTGGTGTCCGTCCGATTTGCGGGTCTGTGGTGGCGACTGGTGTGCGGTTGCGGGTTCCACTGCTTTTGCAATCGTTCATGTTAGGCTTTCTTCAGGTGCACGAAGCGAAATAAGAGCATTTTGTATCATCGCGGAAAACGCATTTCCTTAAGCCGAAGATAGAACATTGTTCCAAATCAAGAATAAACCAACTTAGGCTAGTTGCTTTGGAAAGTGTCCCCAGATGTGAATCCGGGGGACCGACAGATAATGCTCCACCCCCCCTTGAAGCAGAAAGTCGGCGTACTGGATAGCAAGCAGAGCGCACCGAGGTGCTTCGTTAGTTCGTGCTCGCCTCACAGACCACTGTTTGTTATCTAACCTATAAGGCTGTACACTCCACTACTGTGAGCTTCTCGGAGCCATGTTTGGGCAGCTAGAGTGCAGTGTGCGCAAGAGTATGCCATTGATATGAGTGCAAATTCACCATTTACAGTTTGGAATTGCAAGCAATTCCACCTGGGAGTTCATGAGAAATTCCAACCAGAATCGTCCAGCAATTCCAAATTGGAATTCCTGTTTTACCCGGCATGATGAACGCACACTGCGCCCCTGCTCTCCAATTTTGGCTCGAAAAGGCTCACAGCAATGCACTGCGCGGCCTCCAAGATTTGAATGTCAACGGGTGCTTAAGAGCGTTTGCGTACTTTTCCAACGAAGTACGCAGAACTCCTGCGGCCTCATGTGGGTTTGGATGTGAAAGGCGTAAATCGGGATTCCAAATCCGAAAAAAATCTATAACAGGCCTTAGAATAGTAGTGTGTAGCGCCAGCAGGAGGGCGAATGGTAGAAGTCAGGGCTCACTTACACGCGTGTACACAACACGTGTCCGAGACGCACCCACGGAACCCCCTCCCCGAAGTCGCCTCCCAAAGCAGATGCAAGAGAGGGTGAAGGAATGTAGTCCAGTCGTGATGATTTTTCCCGCAGTTCCCCCACTTCGCTCCCCTCCAGACCACCATTGAGATATAAATCAGTGTCCTGATCTTCTTCAAGTCGGCTTACCTTGACAACGTCGTAGTTGGCAAATTCGTGCTCGCCCTGTTTCAGCGTCCTCGGGGGCGGCGCGGTGAACTCCCCGAAGGGGCCAGTGCCGAATATCCAGACCGACCCGCCGGCGTCAAGGGCGGCCTTGAGCTCGCTCTTGGTCCGGCGCTGAGCCTTCTCGTACGCCCTTCGCTTGTCCTTAAGGAGCAGCTGCCACTTCGCCCACCTCTTGGCTTCGGCCATGGCTCGCCGTTCCCTTTTTCAACGACGAGGACGACACCATGACCAACACCAACGTCGACAACGACAGCAAATCGTCGACATGGGAAGAGAGCAATCGGATTAGAATAGCACCGAACAACAAGGAAGGAAGAAGGGGTGCAGAACCTAAATATCAACATGAAACCGGAGCAACGAAAAATGTCTCCTTTGGTAGCGGAGCACAGACTGCTGTTTAGAAATCTGGGTAAACTATATTCCCTCCATTGTGTGAGCAAACGCGAACATCCCGGTAGGCGGTACCGTCGTTTGTGACTCGAGACGGACGCCAATCACTGCGAAACAAGTGGTGCATGTTTACGAAAACAGAGACAAGCCCACAAGGCGTCCCCCTCGACCATCGACAAAGAACTCGTAAAACTTGTTTGTCCCCACCTGTCCTCTTCGGCATCGAGGATTTGCTCCAGCATGTTGTAGAGCGTCCGGTTGGTGGCGATCTTGGGGATCTTGACCCCTCTGTCGAGAAGCTCCTTCTTGACGTTGGTCATCCGGACCCAGATCTTCTTGAACTCGGCGTATTCGATGTAGCCGGACTGGTCGGTGTCGTACTTCTTAAACATCTCCTCCAGTTTCATCTCCGTCGTCTGGTGATAAGGAAAGCATCACGTAAGGGCTTCGGGTTTTCAGAACGGAGGGAGGGTGCAGGTGAACGGAACGAGCGCCGCGCATTTGACTGCAGCTAGCAGATGCGACGGCAATCGGCGTAGGATCTCGTATCATGCTACATGCTATGAACACGTTGACCAAGAGTAGCGACCGATCGTCAAGTACCTGCCGCACATGAAGTTTGTTGTCCTTCACCATCGCTGGGAATACAGCAATTTTTTCTGTTCGATCATGACACGTGAGCATGAAAATAGGCTCAACCGACAGGACATCCAACAAGTACGCCACCTTACCCATGAACAATGCGCAACGCATCGAGCATGACGCGCAGAATCCTTTAGTTATATAGATTACTAGTGTACCCTTGCATGCTTCGCGAACTGCGGGCCACACCACCCACCTCAATGCCAAGGAACTGCAGGAGAAAGAAAAACTCGTCCTCGTCGATCTGACCGCTGTTGTCTTCGTCGAACATCTTTGCAAGTACGGGTGGCGTTTGGATGTTCCGGCACAGGAAAATTTTGGAGCGCGTTTTGAATGGGAATTAGGTCGGGGTTCGCCGGTGCAATGAGACAGTATTCGAGTAAGCCCCACACATCTGGGATTGAATTTTCATACTCCCGTTTTGAGACGAAGATTTGTCTCGAAGGTGTTTAAGCAAGTGCAAAGGTACCGTACTTCCTCTGGAGGAAGCCATTCTTGCCCCGTGCAATCGCGTTCGTACGAACTACAAAAAGGCGGGTCGAGAAGACCTTTCAGCCCCAATGGGGAAGACAACGGGAAATACACCACACGCGACGAGCACGACTTGTATTTGTATATTCGGCGAGGAGGAGGACCGTTGATAGCACGGTGTTGTCCCACCAGGGACAGCTAGACAGCTCTACATGTCTGTCAAACCTTCGGAACCCCGTGCAATCCCCCATAACTAGCTTTGCGTCACCTCGAAGGCATCGAGGGGAGTCAAGAGGGCACTGGGAGTGAAGCCAACGGGGTTTCCGCTGTCAGGGTCGACGGCGAATAACGCCACCTTGAACTCCTCGAAGTCGATCTCACCGGAACCGTCGGGATCGGCCATGCGGAAAAACCTCAAAGCCTGAAGTTGGGGGCGAAGAGTACCGCATGTGCCGAAGCTTGTGGGGTGGCGTACATAGACGCCTGTGGTGCAAGAAACAGGTTTTATCTGATTGACGCCTCTGCGGGGATGTGCACTTAATGTTTGGCGGGTGTCGCCGCGAGGACGCACGAAAGCGCTACTCTCCCCAAAGGACTATGCGCATGAAAGCAATGATGTAATAGTCCACGACGAAAAGTGTCATCAGCATGAACAACATATGCCACAGAACACAGAGCATGCATCAGATACAGCTCCACCATACTGATGGCATCGTTCGTGAGTGCACTTCGTATTCACATGTTTGCTTGCACCACACTTCTACCGGCAGGATGTATCGAGGCCGCGATAGCTTTCGTACACGCAACGAGTTGTCTTGCATCATAGATTACTGCATCATAGATTATGGGTATCAATCCACTCACTGTTATGGACTTGAAGTGACCTGTATTGGCTGTACCTTTGGCATGGTTATATTAATGCCGAGCTGCGGTAGCATGGTCCGGAACTCGTCGAAGTCGATTAGTCCGCTTCCGTCTATGTCGAACTGCGCAAACACCTCCTCCGGCGTTTTCTTCGCAAGTTCAGCCATGATGTTCTTCACCTCCCCCCGTTGATCCTTTTCCTCGTCTGCGCCCTCGCCGCCATTCTGAGAGTCCAAGTTGCTGCTGCCTCCGCCATCGTTGCCTGAATCGGCGTTGACGCTAGCGATCTCCTCGGCCTTCTTGGCGGTCGACGTTTTCGCGAGACTTTTCAGGTCTTTCTTGGCGGTCTTGTCCGCGCTGGCGATGTCTTTCTCCATCTTTGTTATAGAACAGGCCGCAGATATCCAGGGGCAATAGACATATGGGGGGCATGTACATGGTATGTCAAAAGAAATGTGCTATGCCTGCATTCGTAGGATATGCAAATCATGGTTGACGCGTAGTCTAGGTGTCCGTGGCGATGACTTCATCTGTTATTGCACGTTTCTGTTGTACTGGGATGAGCGACGTATAAAATACGCTGTGCCAGTTGAAGGGGAGAGCCCTTGCACACTATGCCATAGAGAATGAGGAGGTATGTAGCTCCGATCAAGTTATTCGACTTGAACACTCGATCAGGATTACTTCTGTTCTTTGATGTAGCATACCAGCCACGGTCACCAGACCTGTCCGCTTCAACACTGTACAGGCGAATTACGAAAGCCGTCAGCTCTCAAAGGAGTTTGCGGTCACAATCCCCAATACTGAACTAGGTTCCACTCAGTACTCTAAGGACGTCGGCACCTGCTGTGTGTGTGCTGTTGAAAGCACCAATAATAGCTCTGAATACATGCCGATCGATAGATGTGCATACCTGCGCGATTTTCCTCTTGGTGTCATTTGCGCCATATTTCCCGACAACGTCCACATGATCGGCGCTCCCACTGGAGTAGGAGCCAACCGAATCACCCCGACTACCTCCCATTTTACTTTAATGGGAGAGAATCTCTGCCCTCTTGACCTCTGGCGGGAAAGTCTCGAGGCCCGACGCCCAACGCCCGAGGCTTCGCGGCCGGGCAGACATGACAGCGGCACAATCATATCGCGTGGAACCGTTTTGTGAACCAATTGGAACCGTTAGTACTGTAGTTGTGCCGCGTCCGCATGCCCCGATCCCCGATCCCTCCCTGAATCCAGCCAACAGCCCAGTCCAACAGCCAACACTACGGCGGTGGCATTCGTTGCGCTGCATTAAGTGAAACCACTGGCATCCGTTGGTACGACCGGGAGCTGCAGTGATCGATCAATGGCGATTGAAAATGAGCTCCGAGTGGTGCTCCTTCTGTGCGTCGTATGGCTGATGGAGGTGGCCTGCACCCGCATCAACGTCTCGCCTATCATCGGTCAGATAGCGGGGGGGCTGGTGGTGGGCCCTGCACTCTTGGATCTCATACCGCATGTGGAGGCGTTCAAACTGTTGGGAAAGCTGGGCGTGATGATTTTGGTCGTCGAATCGGGGTGAGAATCGAAATGTGCATTGTGCCCATATGTCGATGCTCCATTAACCCCCACGTGACTACACCCACGAATGANATAACGACGGGGATAGCAGCACAGCAGCAGTAGCGTCCCCTACACAATGGTACCCGCAGAGACCGGGGTGCTGCTGCGCCGCGGTCTTCCTTTTTCCGCAAGGTTCCTGATCTCGGGTAGGGGCTGGGGCTCTGCTGCCCCGTGTTGACAGTAGCGCTGTCCTACCGCCCGGGCTGCAGCAGCCGAGGCGTCGGGAAGTTGGTTTGGCGTGGAGTTCGCGATGGCCAGCAGCTCATCCCAGACAACACGTGGAGCCGTCTCGGGATGCCATTGGTCTGCCTTGTGCTGCCAAAACTGAGCAACTTCCTCTGGGTCCATGATGATGGTAGTGATTGGGTTACTTCTCTTGCTGCTGTTGTGCCTAAAGGTAGAGAGGGAGGAGCGGCAAGGAGAGTATCGTCCCCGGCCACTTTTCGCTCACAATAGCAAGGGTTTTCGGGACTACAACTCTGATCACAGCTCCGATCTTCCCCCTCTATCTGTAGTATAGAAATTGATAATTTTGCACGATTTTATTCTATTTGACCCGATATTGCGTTATTTTGCGATTCGTACACACAGCAGTTGGTTGGATAGATTTTTTTTTCGTTTTGTGCCCAAGTTATCGCTNCTTGATCCGCGCAATACCTCTTTTTCCAAGCGATAAGTACCTCTCTCGTCTCGGAAGCACTTCTGCGCACAGCAGTACTCGATATGTGTACTCCTCGTGTCATTGTTCGTAATTGTGTAAAGTTTCGTGTCGATCGGTTAGGAATAGGGCGCGTTCTGTGACTACACCCACGAATGAGCTCCTTTCCCAGCTCCGATGACTCTTTAATGCGACATTATCGAACCGAATTGAGCTGTGGATACCTGCGTCGACGAGGGCTCGACTGGACGAGTAGACCGTCGAAAAGGAACATAATAACGACGGGGATAGCAGCACAGCAGCAGTAGCGTCCCCTACACAATGGTACCCGCAGAGACCGGGGTGCTGCTGCGCCGCGGTCTTCCTTTTTCCGCAAGGTTCCTGATCTCGGGTAGGGGCTGGGGCTCTGCTGCCCCGTGTTGACAGTAGCGCTGTCCTACCGCCCGGGCTGCAGCAGCCGAGGCGTCGGGAAGTTGGTTTGGCGTGGAGTTCGCGATGGCCAGCAGCTCATCCCAGACAACACGTGGAGCCGTCTCGGGATGCCATTGGTCTGCCTTGTGCTGCCAAAACTGAGCAACTTCCTCTGGGTCCATGATGATGGTAGTGATTGGGTTACTTCTCTTGCTGCTGTTGTGCCTAAAGGTAGAGAGGGAGGAGCGGCAAGGAGAGTATCGTCCCCGGCCACTTTTCGCTCACAATAGCAAGGGTTTTCGGGACTACAACTCTGATCACAGCTCCGATCTTCCCCCTCTATCTGTAGTATAGAAATTGATAATTTTGCACGATTTTATTCTATTTGACCCGATATTGCGTTATTTTGCGATTCGTACACACAGCAGTTGGTTGGATAGATTTTTTTTTCGTTTTGTGCCCAAGTTATCGCTGGCGCACAGGAGTAAGGGTCCACCTTGCGATGACTCTCGACGGGTCCCCTCTACATATGCGTATCGGCGTCTCTTTTCAACCGAATGTCATACCACGAGGCCTGCTGCTACTGCTACTGCTGCTGTTTCTGCTGTTGGTGTGCTGCCGACGGTTGGATATTTTTTCGGATTTTTTCCCAATGTCACATTCGTTCGTGCGTGGACATGTGTCGTCGCTTCCAACGAAGGAGCACTGAAAGTGGAACGTTAGGTGGTGCCAGGCCTCGCGGGCGGGGTGTGCTGCCTTGGCCGCGGGCGGACAGCAGTGATATTACTAGAGCTATCCCATGTGGATACCCATGTTCAGTTCACAGCAGCAGCAGTGCGGGGTGAAGACAATGTGTCTGCCTCTCTCGATCGAGCCCCCCAGTTCACGCCCAGCTCGTACAGCAGTCACCGATGACAGCCCTGATGTGTGTTGGTCTGCTGTTACATACCAAAGGTTTGTGTGAGCAAAGGAGTGGCGTGTGGATGCGACCATGTGTACTCGAGTGCATGTGGGAGATACCGGTAGGGTGTGTAGCGAACGGGAGACGGTGGTTGAAATATGTGTGTTCCACAGCCTTGGCCTTGATGATGTCAGCGGTCTCTTCGCCCAGTTAAGAAAAAAAAGACCCTCGGAAGATCCAGGGAAAACCCAGTCACATAAGGGTGAAGTCGAGCGTGAGCTTGTAGTTGGTATTACTGCTGTGCCTCTGAGTGGTCCAAAGCGGGGGTTCCGCTCGATGGCCTCTACGCTGTCGTGTCTGTCACGTGTTCGTCAGCCCCCCTCTAGCGGGAATGCCGAAGTTACGTGAGGTCTACGACGTCAGCAGATTGCACAGGCATTCTTCTGCATGCTGCACAACAGCAACGAGCTTGAGCGAGCGAGAACCAAACTTCCAATGAGTGGTTCTTGACGAAGTGCATGGTGTATCACTCGAACAGGCTAGCCGTGGATATTCAAGATATTCGTCAATTTGGGGCGAGGGCTTCGCTGGCAGCGGCAACTGGCGTACTACTACCCACTGCGCTTAGCCTCGCGCTGTATTCAGCGGTTCTCGGGGCGCACTGGAAGGTCTTTTTCTGCCTCACCTGGCCGTACGCTTCTCTTCGTGTGTCAGCGTTGTTGGAGCTAGAGAACTGGTCGAACGACAGTCATACACTTGGCAGTATACAGCTCGTGGAACGATCAGCATTTTCGTCGAGGCTTGTAATAACTCAAAGAATTGCGCCGGCGCAACGTCAGTCATTTTTTTGGAACGCATGTTTGATCGCAAGCGGTAGTCTAGAACCAGCGTTTGATTACACCAGGAAGAGAACGCCTGCCACGGTAGGAACCATGTGCTGTTTTTCTTGTGGTACCCACCCTTCCTGCCGTGAAATGTTCATTTATTTCGTCCAACCATGCCAGGCGGCCTTAGCCGTGGGAGCGGCGCTCTCCCCCACCAGCCTAGGGTTCAGCGCCCAGCTTCTTGGCGAGGTGGGGCAGCTCACGACACCGATAGGTCAGTTCATCTGCACGGCGGCCGTGATCGACGACGTTCTGTCTCTGCTTCTCCTCGCTGAGGTGCAAGCACTCGGCGACAAGAACCCCGAGGTAAGGGTAGCCCACGTGTAACTCTCCCGGTATGTTATCACGTCCGGTAAGGTGCGGGTGTAATTTTGCGTAAAAAGCGCACGTGGTGCAGGAAACATTGTTACCCTGTGTGTGAAGATTTCGTGTCGTGGATTTGGGATGACCTTGTCCCTCCACCCCTCCCCGAAACACCCGCTTGCCCCCTCCCGCCCCCCCGTTCTCGCCCCCCATCTCCATGCGCAACAATCCCGGTCTTCAGTGGCACGACTACGCCGTGCCGGTGTTGGCCTCGGTGGGGTCAGTCTTGGTTGGCGGCCTCGCGGCGGTCTACATCAGTTCCAAAACCGAGCCGCTCGGCGCGTGGCTTTCCTCCCTCAACAAAAAAAAAAGCAGCAACGAAAACGGGCGCCTCTCGTCGTCTCCAGCACGCCGAGCGGAGGTGGCGACCGGGACGGCGCGACAAGGAGAACAGGACCTCTCGCCTTCTGTCTATCGCTCTCCTCCGGTTGTCAATGAACTGACCGCCGCTGTCGACCGGGGCCTAACAATGGTGAACACGACGACGGTACCGCTAGAATCGGGTGTGTTTAGCACTCCCGCCGCCTTTGTCGTATCACCCACGCTGTACGGTGGTGATGCTGGCCGACAAGGCGATGCGGGTTCCGTGAGGCGAGGAGATCGAGTCCTGCTCACGATGGTGTTGGCATTTTCTCTGGTGTTTGCCTACCTGTCGTCCCTGGTGGGCAGTTCGGACCTCCTAGGGTGTTTCCTGGGCGGCTTAGCGTTTTCAGGGGTGCCCGGCGTCCAGACCATTTGGGCACGGCAGGTAAGTGGCCGAGCATGTCTTGAGGAAAGAGTTGTGTGGGTTCGTCTGTGACTTTTGGATGTCTGTGCGCTGTGTAGGACGGGACCTTCATCTACGGTTCTGCTGTTCAGGGCTGTGCGATGAACGTCGGGGCGGAGTGGGGAGGGAGGGGTGTCCTGCTCCCGGTCGGGAATCTGACGATTCCGCTGCTTTCGCCCGCTCCTGGGTCCCATGCTCCTCGGCGTGCCCGAGTGTTTGGCGCCTACCGGCCGTGGGCGTTCCCGCGACTTTGGCGCACTCCGCACCGCACCTTCTCCCGCTCACAGTCTGGCCCACGACACCACGGCGTGTTTTGTTTCGTCGTGTCAATACACTCGTTACACCCAAGCCTCAAGCGCTTTCGGTCATTCCCCCCCTTATCTTGCCCCCCTTGTTCCCTCTTCTGTGTTGAAAATGACGCCTTCCACCCACCCAACCCTTGAATGCAACGCAGATGAAGCGGTACTCTCAGTGGGGGGCAAGGCTCTTCTTCTCTGCGACGGTCGCGTTCAGCGTGCCGTCCGTCTACAAGGACGGCGGCCTTCTCAGAGTCAAACCGTTCTGGAAGGGTCTTATCCTTACGGTGGCCGCGATTGTCGGAAAGCTCGTCGTGGGCTTCTACGCGGGACCCCCGTTGACACTCTCTGGCTTCCTGAAGCTGGGCTGGGCTATGAACGGGAGGTGCGTGCGTTCGTTCCAGTCCGCGGCCCTGAGATTTGTGTCGTGTGTATGATGCTTCGCGTACCACGACAGTTTACGACTGCTCTGTCTTTGTCTCTTCTCTCACCTCTGCCTCTCTCTACTTGTCTCTCTCTACTCCTCTTTCCCTCTCACGTGTTAGATGCGTAAGGTCAGCTATGATGATATGGGTAACCACGCGAGCAGCAGCCGCAGCAGCAATGCCAACAACAACAACAACAACAACAACAGAGCGATTCACTTGTTTGGAAGAAATCAAGTCCGTACCTTTACCATCCCCCAATCAACGCACACAAGCATACTCCCGGCAACGCACCCAAACGGTCCTCGTTTTTCACTTCTTTTCTGTGCATCTCTCGGCCTGCTTCTGTTTCCCCCTCGTTTTCTGGACGACATACACAAACCAGGGGGGAATTTTCGTTTTTCATTGCCCAGGAAGCGAGCGAGGAGGAGGTCTTGACGACCGAGGACTACTCGGCGGTGGTTTGGGCACTGCTATTGAGCTCCATCGCCGCTCCTGTGTTCTTCAGAAGGGTCCTGGCCAAGGATAACGATGATGTGAATGATGCCCACAGCAATCCTCGCCGAAAAAAGCACGGCGAAGAAGAGTTGGCGGGGGGGGGCAGCACGACTGCCGTGCGATAGAAGCTTGTTTTGTTGCGGCACTCTTGCCGTTCTCGTACAATCCATAACCTCAAGCGTGGTGTCGACGCTTTGAAGCTGTAGCACCTCGAATTCCCTGCCAATGACATAAAATAACCGGGATGCAATGAGGTACTACTATTATGTAATTTAGCGCTCTTATCAATCCCGTCACCCCCTACATGCCCTGTCGGGGGTCTCCGGTTTGCCGTGACCTGCCACTCGCGAGTGTGCAGCGGTTTTCGAGACGTTGTTGTGCACCTTTCGGTGCTGACCAAAAGTGCCGACACGCTTGCTTCCCTCGGGCCCGGCCATGATTTCGCGGCAAAACAATACCCACGGCAAAAACATACCATAGAAGTAGGTGCTAGGTGCTGTAATAGGCCCGGACGACGTGGACGCATGTTGCCGGAGCGCGAACCAACTCTCGAACTGTAACTACGTCCGTTCGATGCACTGTGTTCTTCCTGCTCTCGCGTCGTGATGCACGTACACCGTACGGTCGCCCCTGCACGTAGGCTCGAGGGGATCCTCAACAGAACGGGTCTCATTTTCGAAGGGTCGCGCGCGTTCGAATCGTCCCTTGGCGCTGTTTCCACGTCTCACCGTCCTTTATCGCCAACGAAATGTCAACTTCAAACGCACCCAGAGGCACGTTCAGAAACACTGCGCCACCACGACACACAATTGACGGCAAGAAGACCCGCAGTCTCAGACGCGTAACTTGGCCACGAGACGTTCATTACCCCACCCAGGAGACGTTCATTATCCCACACCTCCTACGTACCGTATATGACACACGATAACACACCCCCTTGACCGATTTTCAAAGCTCGATTTCTCAACTGTCGGAACAATCACAGCGCCGAAAACAGCGGCGTTGAAACCGTCTCGTCGAGAGCTTTACGAAAATGTATCGTTTCGTTTATGCATCCTCTTTGTCGTGGAGTAACTGAGCTTTAAAAATCGGTCCAGGGGGTGTGTTATCTTGTGTCATATACGGTACACCAGGGCTGATCATGTGCACACGACAGCTCGTGCTCGGGGCAATAGCAGCCCCGTCGTAACGTGTAGACCAGTCGTTCGTTTTCACCACAGGCAGGCGAGTTCGCCGGGTCCGAAACGAAACGCTGACTTCCAGTCCATTAATTCCATCAGCAGAGCTAGTGGAGCGAGAGACGGCCAGACCAGGCAGTTGTAAACGTCTACTTCCTACTCTCTCCCCCCCCCCCCCCCTCCGACCCTCTCTCTCGACACCCGATGACGAACCACAGACAAACATTTTCACATGTACTGTAAGCATACGCCACGCCATGTCATGTCACGCCACTCCATCTCATACATGTTTATACACGGCACCACTAACCAGCAACCACACACAAAGGGGGTCACACAGCTGGGACATTGAGCACACGCCCACCTCTGCGCACCCCCAGAGCCTTTCCTACAATTCCTCATCCTTACCAAGATTAAGGTTATCGATGAAGGCAGCTGAACTTGAGCGAGAAAAGACCAAAACAAAAGCTGATCCATCTGTGCTCCTCTAGTGCCTAGCGTGTCGGCCATGCCCCGGGAATACGAGACGAATGGTAACACAGAGCAACCTTCCAAGGTGTATGATACAAAGCGGCCGAGCGTAGCCTTGCACTGGAGCGCCCGGAAGAGATAAGATGTTTCTAGTTGACAAGCCGCCAGCGGGGGAGGGTCCGCGGTGGTGCTAGCCTACCGTATTACAAGTGGTCGTCAGCAGTGGCGGGCGTGACCACAACTGTTTCTATCTACCAGAATAACGTCCAAACGTTGCCCACAAGCAATGCCCGTGAGCACACGTGCTTAAAATAGCTGTCGCGCGTGCCTCCACGAAGAAACGACCAACTTCTGCCATTCGTTGAATTGCTGGGCATCCTAGCGACCAAAAAAAAAACCACCCCAAGAAACAAAACACACATCCACGAAAAATCACGGCAAACGACGGTTCCTCGATTCTTACAAAGAAATGTTTTATCACCTTTACGCAAGAAGAGCGACTAAAATACAAAAATACATCGGCGTGGGGGGGGGGCGTGGG